ACAGCCTCATATGTCTGAAAGCTGACACTTTAGCTTTTAAAAGAAATGGGGGAAAATAAGCTGTTGACTTCTTGGTTAAAGTATTTTCTTGTTCTAACTCATGTTCTTATGTCACTGGGCTAAAAAAGAGAGAGAGAGAGAGAGAGAGAGAAAGAGAGAGAGAGAGAGAGAGAGAGAGAGAGAGAGAGAAGAGAGATATGACTTTCCTTGAATGATCTGTTTAACCTAAGCCAGAGGAAAAAAAAGAAAGTCATTAATTACTTATGTGAGCTATTGCTTCAGAAAGACAATAAACCTGCCCGGTCGCCATGGATATGACATATTTGCTCTGAAAACAACACAATAATTAGCAAAGGGGAAAGATACAAGGAGAATATGCAAACTCGTGAGTTTAAAGCCACAGTGCTCTTTTCTACCGGTAAGCCTGTTCTGTTTGCAATCCAAATCAAACACATTTTTAAAATATAGCAGAGAGGGAAATAACAGGAATAGGTCCTCTCTCCTCTGAGCTGAGAAGTAACAACCACTCCACCCTCTTCCAAAATAAAATAATATAAAAGAGAACCAGGATGGCAGAAGGAGAAAAAAAAGTCAAGTATTGCCTCTGTTTTATTTCCTATAGCAGGGGTGGAGTCTGAGGTTTGTTTTTTTTCTTTTCTTTTCTTTTCTTTTTTTTTTTTCTTTTTAAGTGTGCTCTTATTTAGTATTGGATCTTCTGGCCAGATACAAATTTATTTATAAAAGCCAAATGCCCTGTGTGCGGCTCATCCCTCCCCAAAGTAAGTGGAAATGTGAAGGGGTGGGAGGTGGTGGGCTCTAGCTGAAAAAGCAAAACAGTACACTCAGAAAGCATCAGTTCCAGAGAGGGACATCCACTCCCCCACCTCCAAGAAAATGGAACCCAGGCCTTACTTTAATATTAAAAATGCATTAAATGGTTTTACCTACAACTCAGTCCCAGAGGATCATTAGGAAATGCAATCGCTTTGTATCATATCTGTCAGCGTGATAAATATCTGAGTTCAGGGTGGGTCTGCAATTTTTCAGACTGTCACAAACCAAGATAAATTTTTTTTTGCCTTACTTTCTTAATTCATTGTACCCACCCCCTCAAAGTCACAAGTCTACAGAAAAATACCTGAGGAGAGAAGAGGGGGAAGGAGGAAAAGTTGATATGCCCTCATACACCAGAGGTTACTGATATTTCCCTAAAAAGTAGAAAAATTGAGACTTTAAAATATTTGGGTGAGAATATTTTTTAAATATTTAAAGCACTCCATTAGGTTTGAGTAAAAACTCCTTTTCCCCTCTTCCCAGAGGCTAATTTTCCAAAAACAGATGGTCAGGATCTAAAAGAGAAGCAAATATACCTCAACCCCCGCAGGCAGAGAAATCTAACTTTGAACTTCTTTTTAAATTAAAAAAAGTGTGTGGGGGGGCAAGATAAACTATTAATAAGTATGAAAAATTAGCTGAGCTACAAGTCTTGTTTTTCTTATGCAAAAAATTCTTTAAACACAAGGGGAGCAGATATATAGGAGAGGTTCACATTTGACTGACTTCCTTTTTTTTCACAACAGTTTGTTGTTTTTTTTTTTTTAGATTGAACTCTTTGATCTTGAAAGAATTTTGCTCTTATATTATGGGGGAGAAGGGGGTGGTGGTGAAATGATCTGTTTTAAATGATGATGCAACTTAGGGATCAAAGCCTTGGCTTTCTTCTAGCCATAATAAGCTGTACTTGCCACAGAGCGTGAGTCTCCGGGCTTCTCTCCTTCGTAAGAAGGAAATAAAATGCACCGAGACTCAGAGAAAGACGCAAAGTGTCTGCAAGGTGCAAAGTCTAGAAAACAAAACAAAACAAAAGTCAGGGAAAAAGGAGAGAGATACTGCCCCTTTAAACGTTTTAGTGCATATGGAGTTTGATTTCTGAAAGAGATCAGTTTAACATCTCCATAGAAACCAGCAACAGATTATCATCAACAGAATAAATAACTAGTCTAATAAATTAAACAGGAGGCATAAGATCGCTGGAAACCTGATTACTGAAGTTCAACAATATTCCCCATAAACTCTCGTTAACCGCCTCTAAGGTGGCTAACAAGATGGAGGGGGGGGGAGTCAATCTCTCCAATTCGCCGGATTCCGGGCAGAGAGGCCGTGGCCGCTACCGGGAAGGGAAAAGTTCCCCACCCTGCCCTGGAGAGGGTCTCAGAGCTCGAGTGAGGTGAAAACCATAACGCCGAAGTTTGGGAAGTGGGAAAGCAGCTGGGCGTCAGCGGAGGCAGTGCGAGTCGCCGGAGATGGCGCGGGACGCGACGCCCGCCCGGGACGCACCGCCTCGCCGCCACCAGGGCGCAAACCCGGAGCTTTGCGCTCGGGCGCCGAACGGCCCAGCGCCCCCTCTGGGCACGTGGAGCGCAGCCCGGGCGCAGCCCCCGGGGACCAACTACCCCCCTCACCACGGCCGGCGCAGCTGCTCCTGCTCAGCCCGGACAGCTCCCTTTAGGACGGCGACGTGTGTGTGTGTGTGTGTGTGTGTGTGTGTGTGTGTGTGTGTGTGGTGCATGTGTGTGGCGTGCGTGTGTGTGTGTGTGCGAGCGCGCGCGCGCGCCGTGGGGTGGGTAGGCGGGCAGGCGCACCAATTTACCCGGCGATCTGTTTTCCAGTCTCCTCGCGCGCTCTCATCGCGCGTCTGTACCAGCTTAGAGACGCCCTAAATTTACCAACTTTGCCCGGCGATTATCCTGGCTTTTTCCCCCTCGCCGCCCCCATCTCTTTGAGCGTACGGGGTGTTGTCTGGACAACCACACGCTCTGAGGGTCGTGGCCCCAGGCTCCGCCCGGGCAGCGACGCATAACCCCGGGTTGCCCCTTGATCCAGCCGGGTTTGGGGGAGCTCCAGGCACGTTGGAGGGGTGTTTTTGCTGCTCTGCTGGTGGACAAATCATACACACCGCACACGCGCCCGCCCCCTCCCCAGCATGACTGGAAGGAGGTCCTCGCCGCACGCAAGGCCCGCTTCCCAAGCTGAAGCCGGGTCAGGAGAAAGAAACTTGTGTGAAAAGGTGAAGCGTCCCCCTGCCTCCCTCGGCGCTCCATTCCTCCCCCAACTCCGGACCCGGGTCGGGGATGACTTGTAGGAAGAATCTGCGCCCACCCCCTAGAGAAAAATCTATTATTATTATCTTAATCTACGACCCCAAAGTGTCCCTCCCGCCGTGATTGACGGCGCATACACCTGTTCCCCTCGCCGAGGAGCTTCCAACGCTGGGGACAGACATTCGCCCAAAAGCTCTGCAGCGGCCCAGGGCCCGCCTGCCGCCCTCGCCCGGCCAGCCCCCGCCCGCCGCCCCTGTGCGCCCCTGCCCATACCTTGCCAACCCAGGGCCGCCCCCTCCCCTCCCAGGCCCGGCTCCCCAGCCCGTCCGCTGCCGGCCGCGCTGGCTTCGTAAAGAGAGAAAGAACAGAAAGCAAAACTTCCTGGCGGCCGACGGCCATCAGCTGCACATTCTGCAAATGCCACCGAGTAAAAATAAACCGGCCGCCGCTCCGCCCGGCCGGCTCACCCCGGGCGCACAACTCGGCCCCCTGCCCCGGGACTGTCGGTCTGGCCGATCCCCCATTCCCGTGCGCCCCCTGGAGCCCCGCTCCCCGACACTCCTCCACCAGCCACTACGCGCTCCTTTGCCCTGAAACTCGACCCCAAGTGACCGGGCAGCCCGGCCCTCTCCCCTTTGGTGCCCCTCCGTGTTCCCACAAGCTACCATTCTCTGTCCTCCGCCTGGTGCCTATTTTAGCCGTGCGCCCTGGATTCAGGGCTCCCTTTCCCCAACTGTTGAGCCCCGGGGTCACCCTCAGCCCACCCTTGGGGGCACAGACCCCACCAGACCCTCGCCCACCTCGGCCGAGCCCCCTGAGAGTGCACGGCTCCACCCTCCCACCGGCCCGCCAGTCGGGCATCCCACGTCCCCGGGCGCAACTTCTCTCCCAGAGCACACGACAACCGCGGCAACTCCCCCGAACTTTTCCCGGGACCCAGGCGGGCTCCGGCCGACAGTCAAACGGCCCTGAGCCGGCATCCCGGCTCCCTGTGCCCAACACTGCCAGCCCTGCACCCGGAGAGGCTGGGGTGGGGGTGGGGGGGGCAGTGAGGAGCTCCACTTGCCGCGCCCGGAGCAGCGCACTTGAGACAAACTTCCCAGGCACAAATGAAAAAGGGGGCGCCGCTCCCCCCAGCCAAGCAACCTTTGCCTTCGTTTTCCCACCAGGAGGCACCCCCTGGCACCCCGCGCCTAAGTGAACACTGCCTACCTCTGCCGGTAGCACCTACACCCTGGTACTGGGGAACAAGAGTCGGCTGGAGGGGTTCCCCACCCACCCCCTTCCCTTGAGCAAAGTCTTGCAAAGTCACCCCAGGCGCCCCTCACCCCTGCCTCCTTCTCTGCCCCTGAGAGCGCACGAACCCCTGCAGCTCGGGAGGTTGAGGGGGGGAGCGTAGGGGGAAGGAGTGATTACTGGGTATTGGCGAGCACCTGCCCCCCCCCGGAGCCCGCAGCGCGGGGGGCGCCCCCACCCTATTTGCAAAGTCCTGCACTCGCGCCTGGCACCTCCCCCGCTTCTCCCTTACCCCGCCGCCCCCTCAGTTGGAGTAAGTGACCCCCAGGAGCAGCAGCCCTCCCCTTCCCCGGAGCCGCGCGCTGGGCATTCCCTGGCCGCGGCGGCCGACGCGCCGCCCCGCTCCCGGGTGCCAGCCCTCCGTGCCCCCTGCCTCCCGCACGGCCGGAGTTGGGTGGCAGCCGCCGCTCGCAAGCTGGCTGGCTGGCTGGCTGGCTCTCTCGCTCGCTCGCTCGCCCGCTCGCCCGCTCCCGGCTGCAAGCGGCAGCCCCGGGGGTGGGGGGCTGCACCCGGACAGGGGGCGAGGCGGGGAAGCACCCCGGGAGGCCCGCGGAGCTGAGGGGCGTGGGGGGGCCGCGGCGGAGGGAGCACCGAGTCTCTTACCTGCACTTGGGGCGGCTTTGGGTGACTTTCCAAGTCCGGGGGAAAAATGTGTGTGTGTTTGGGATGGAGCGCCGCGGGCGCGCATGCGCTACCCAAAGTTGCCGGATCCCGGATTTTTCGCTCCCAGTCTCTGCTCTCGCCCGCTGTGATTAAGGAATTCTCCGCGGCCGAGCGGGCGAGTGGGTGGCAAGCAAAACCCGGGCCGGATCGCGGGGCCGGGCTCCGCTCCACCCTCACACCCCCAGACCTTCCCCTCCCGGTTTCTTCCCACCCACCGCCCCGCGGAGCTCGGCGGGCGCGCGCGGCGAGACGCGGCCTGCGGAGCAGATCTGAGCGCGCGGCTCCGTTTTGCAGCTGGAGAAGCTTTCTCCACCCCGGACTGAGTGGAGCAAAGGCGGGGTGGGTGGGGGGGACAAGAGAGGAGAGACGGGAGTGGGTTACTTTTCACCTGTTCTGAACCCCGAGAGCCAGTCTGCTTTCCACTTTTCCTCTGAAGAACTATAGCTCTTTCCTGCAAGTTAGAATGTTAGAACTGTCGAACCCAAAAGAACGTGATGTCCTCACTGTTTTGATATCCGCTTTGCACTTATTCTTTGCAAGGGAGTTTTTCATTCAGTCCATTGTGCAAGAAATAAATCCTTAAGTGAACAAGATAAGCCGTGAAGAATGAACCTGGGGCCGGGCCGTGGGGCGGGGGTGGGGGGGGGGTGGGGTACAGATAATGAACATTAAAACAAAAGAATAATATTATTTCAGAGAGTGAAAGGATCATGAAGAAAATAAAACAAGGCAATAGGATAAAGGGTATCTTGGGAGAGCTAATTTCCCCTGCCCGGGTGATAAAGAAGGCCTCTTTGAGGGGGCACCTTCATACTCCATTGGAGATCAACCTCCCTTTGCCCACTCTGCCCACCTCCCAGGAGGTTTGAGGTGGCCACGCCAGGCTGAGCCTGGAGGTCAGCAGCGATGGCTCTGGTCCTGGCTTTCTCAGCCTGGCCAGTGCCCATCCCAGGGCTGACCAATCACTGTACCTGTTTTCCCTTCTGAACAAGGACAGAATGGAAATAGACTTGAAAGAAAGGAGGAAACACTCTGATGATGAGATAAGGAGAAATTGACCACACTAGTAAACAAATAGCTAAATGACTCGTTGAATAAATGAATAAAAATTGAAAGGATGACCAGCAGCTTTGAGAAGTGTTCAACAAAATGCATTAAACTAGAAGGAAATGCCACAGGCTGGTAAGCACTGTTGCAGGCTGGTAGACTTTGGGGCCTAATCTGCAAGGTTTCAGCAAAGCCTCTCAGGACTAGTGAGGGGTAATGACCTGAGAAGTGGTGTTCTAACTTTTGATTCTGGGCTCATTCCATGCCTGGGACAGTGTAAAAACGTGGTTAACAGGTTGGGCTTTGGGGTTAGACCCCAGCCACTTACCAGCTGGGTAACCTTGAGTAAGGCATTTGACCCCTCTGTGCGTCGGTTGCCTCAACAGTAAAATGGGGATAATAATTGTACTACTTGCCTGGGTGTGTTGAGAGGCTAAAATGAGTTAATGCAGGAAAAGTGCCTGGGCCAAGACAGTGATCGATAAATGCCAGTAATTGTCGTCGCTCCTTGGGACATCCAGTGTTCCCTCTCCTCATTTCTTCCTGCCCTCTCTCCCTTCCTTCTCCTCTTCTGTCCGTTTTTTCTCCAGCAACAGTCCTGTACTCATTCATTCATTCCCCAGGCATTTGCAGAGCCCCAGTGAAGAGCACATCCTCACCGGGGCTGGGGAGACAAAAATGAACCACGAGGGACTTCCCTCGTGGCGCAGTGGTTAAGAATCCACCTGCCAACGCAGGGGACATGGGTTCGAGCCCTGGTCCGGGAAGATCCCACATGCCGCGGAGCAACTAAGCCCGTGCGCCACAACTACTGGGCCTGCGCTCTAGAGCCTGTGCTCTGCAACAAGAGAAGCCACTGCAGTGAGAAACCCGTGCACCACAATGAAGAGCAGCCCCTGCTCGCTGCAACTAGAGAAAGCCTGTGCGCAGCAACGAAGACCCAGCACAGCCAAAAATAAATAAAATTAAATCTTAAAAAAAAAAAATGAACCACTAAGCCTTGCCTCTGAGAAGCTGGTTGAGGAGTTTGCTGGTCTCTCCCTTCCCCACTTTCCTAGTATAAGGCTCTGCCCCCCACACACACACCCCAACAGCTGCATCTCACCCATCACACTTTTATTAAAACATTTATTCTTCCCTCCATTTTTTCTCAGATGCTTCACAATCCTTCCCCGACCCCCGCCAAGGAGGCTTTCTACCTCCTGTGAAGGAAATGCGTGCATCTGGGGTGGGGGAAGCTGGAAACAGTGGCAAGCCTGGGATGGCATGAGGTGAGAAGGGAGGCCTCCTCTTCCTTTCCCAACCACCACCCCCCCACCACAAAAACAAAACTAAAATAAAGCAAAAGGCTGGGAGAAAGCACCACACCCAAAAAGCAGCCCCAGCCTCGAAAGCCTCTAGTGCCTTGTTCCCCACGCCCAACTCGCTTTGCAGGGACTGAAATCAGATGGTCTTTTCCTCATTTGCTTCATTTTAGCATTTCCTGAGCTTTCCCTAAAATAAAATACAAACTCTTTCCCATGTTCAGCAAGATCTGACCACTGCCTGCCCTTGGACCTCACCTCCCTCTACCCTCCCCTTGGTCACATTGTCCCGACACACTAGCTTCTTGCTGCCCTGGAAATCACCAAGCCTGTCCCTACCTCAGGGCCTTTGCACTTGTCCCCCCTGCCCAGAATGCCCTTCTTTCGGCTGCTTCCTTGCATCATTCAGGCCTCTGCTCGCATGTCACCTCCTCAGGGAGGCTTTCTCCCTAAAGTAGCTCCCCAGCCTTTCTCTCTCACTTTACCCTGTTTGAGTGTCTACAAAGATTTTGCTTATTCATTTGTTTCCGTATTTCCTGTCCAGCTGCCCCTGCTAGAATGGGAGCTCCTTGGAGACAGGGACTTTGTTCTGTGTCCCCTCGTGTCCTCCACACCTCAGCCTGGCACCTAGTAAGCCCTCGCTCTCTGGGGTGAATCAAGATAAGCCTCTGCGGTCCCTGCCCTTGAGGGACGTAAGCTGTAGGAGAATGAGTAGAAAGTGTCTAGGACAAAGTTTGGGGGAGGGAGGAGGAGCTGGTACAACCTGGGAGTCGCCAGGAGTTGCCAAGTTGAAATGGTGGCTTTGCCGAGTTTTCCACTCCCTGGCTTTTGGCCAGGGGTTGACAGTGGGGAAGTAGATGGCTCTGGTGACTTGTGCCTCAGCAGAGGAGGCTGCACAGGCAGGAGGGGAGGTGGGGTCAACTAAGTACCCTACGGAGGCCATCCTTCTGGCCCCCTACCTGCGGGTGGGCTGCATGTGATTAAGAGCCTCTCCCATTTCTAAGACTCCAGGGAAGTCCCTCCCCACTAGACTGTGAGCCTTAGGGTCTGTGCCTTTGTCGCAGGAGCCGAGGAGCCAAGCACAGTGCCTGGCACCCAGGAGCCTCTCAATGATTGATTTTGAACAAATAAATTTAAGTCTGTCTCAGTCTGTGTGACTGGGACAGCCTTGAAAGTAATCACAGCTCGGCTTCCTGGTCACAGTTTTTTGGTTTCTGGTCCTCTACAGTGATGGAAAGCAACACCTAATCGTACGTCAATAGCTGTTATTTACCGAGTGGTTATTATGTGCCAGGCAGCACGCTAAACACTTGTACGTATTATCTTTTTAGATCGTCACAACAACTGTACCAGGTGGTTACTGTTATGAATATACCCATTATACGGATGAGGAAATCAAGGCACAGAGAATAACTTTCCCAAGGCTGAACTAGGCTGTCTGACTCCAGGGCTGATGCTTTTTACCCCCAGAACCAGTTGCAGGGATGGGGAGGTGACCAAAGCCTCACTTGCCGACTTACCCGAGTGCAACAAGCATTTTTACCTTTACTCTGAGATGAAACTTGAATGTGAGTGCGTTGGGAGAGGAGGAGGAAGGAAGTAGAACAAATCTGCTTTTTAACCATAAATCTTATTTCAATCTAATAAAAGACAAAAAGAATCAAAGAAATCACAGAACCAAGCACCAGGCTTTATACACATGAAGCAGTCAGTCAGTGTTGGCAAACAGTCACTGTTTTTAAATTTAAAAATTACAGACTATGGACTTGTTTCCCTTTTTCCTAAGCTGCTCCTGGGTTTGAGGTCCTCCTTGGGTGAGGTCTGTGTTTTTCGAGTTCACTGGGCCTCTCATGGTTCTGGCATCACAGTGACTCTTAGTGACTGAATAATTAAACAAATGCCCAAGATAAGTGATTATGGTGATTACTGGGCAAGTTGTAATTAAAAATAAAAAAAGCTGAGTGCATTTTTTTTTTTTTTAAGAAATGTCTCCCTTGGGAGTCCTGGAAAGGGAGTATGGGAGAGGGGCTTTTTCCCAAATCCCATCCAAGTTGACAGATTTGACAAGCCCTTCCACCCCCAAATTCCCTCATTCCTTTTGCAAAGTACATGATTATTTGTTTCTGACAATATATATAATACGTGTTTATTGTAAAAAATTCAGAAAATACAGACAAACAGGAGGAAAATATTTTAATCGTCTGTAATCCCACCACCCATGGATAATCACTGTTGATATTTTGTTGTATTTCCTGCCAGTCTAGGGTCTTTGTTTGTTTTTTGCTTTGTTTTATAAAGTCAGCACACTGAACATTCTGGGGTTTTTTTAAGCTGGCTGGCTGTGTGTACGTAGCATGGTTTTCTCACGTCATTAAACACCCTTCTGCAACGTGATGTTTTGTGGACCCATGGTAGAGCTCGATCACAATTTACTTAACCAGTCCCCCACTATTGGAAATTTTGAACATCGAACTCATTTCCAATTCATTTCATTATGATAAAGAACGCTAATGAATATCCTTGTCCCTAAATAATCACGCACATTCCTTAAAGTGGAATTGTGAGTCAAAGAGCAAGCGTGCATTTCAGAGCTTTGACTCCCGTTGCCACAGTGCCCCCTCCCCAGAAGGTGTATGAACTTGCCCTCTGACCAGCTGTGTGTGAGTCAGCCCCATCTCTCCAGTCTTCGGTATTCTCACTCT